GAAAAAATGTTAAGGTATTTGCTACAAAACAATGGATCTAGAAAATAGGTCAAGAAGCGAGAATTTCAGAATCATTGTACTCCCTGAAAATTATGATTTAAAATTTTAAAAATTATTTCAAGAAATCATAAACGAAAACTGCTTAGATCTATTAGAACCAGAAGACAAGTGATGATAGAAAGAATCCACAAATCACCTCCTGAAAGAAACACCAAAAGGAAAAGTCCCAATGACCAATAATGACCAAAAAACCCAGAAAAGGCATCAGATGAACCCAACTCTCAACTGTGCTAAGGAGCGCTGAAAAAACAAACACATGGACACACGTGATTTGTTGAGAAATACATCAAACTCAACAGGAAAATGGGTGGGAGTAGGGAAGAAGGGCATTAAAAGTAAAATAAAAAGAAACTGAAAACTAAGAGGTGCCCATCAATTTAAGAATGAATAAATTGTGGCATATGAACGTAGTATTATTACACCACAAAAAATAATCTCAGAAAATCTGTGTAATGATTTGCTCTAGAATGAAGGTAACAGAACCAAGTAAACAATTTCTACAAGGACGAGAATTTAAACAACAACTTTTAAGGACTTTTAAAAACTGTGATCAAAGCAATGATTGACTTCATCCCTGAATGACTTATGATGAAGTATATTCCCTACTTCCTGACAAAAAGGGGATGAGGTCAAAGCACAAAAAGACATTGGACACAGTAATTGTGTGGATTTGTTTTGCCTGACTATGCTTAATTGCTATAAAGGTTTTGTTTTCTTTTTAATTTTGGGGGGATGCCTGGAAAAGAGTGGGAATTAGCAATAGTGATGCCAAAAAAGGATCCCTGAAACATTTTAAAAATGCACAGAGGAAAACATAAGACAGTTCAGAATGAAGCACAGAAAAGTAGGGCAATTTTGAAAATAACAAGTTAAATTTAACATCTACTTTAAAAGCATCACAAAATGCAGGTTCCTGGTTTCATGTACTATCTTGTTTTCTATATGTACAGGGAAAAGCTCATTTTTTCTGGCGTTTAAGCTCAAAAAAAAATTAAAAACAAGAGAAAAGAATGAGGTTTATTGAAATACAGAGTACTTATAAGCAATATGCAAAAATTCATAAGCATTATGGATTTGTAAAGCACAAAAAAGACTAATACATTTTACATATTAACAAAAAGAGAAGAAAATTAAAACTTGTTGCTAGAATCTCATTTTCGATAATGTAAACAAAAGCATGACAATGCTAGATGAGATGTAGACTGATGGTACAATCAAATAATTTGGTCTAGCATTTGCATATCAAATTTCTTTTTTAAAAGAGCATAGGCACACACATACAAAAAGTCCCAAGCTTCATGATGGTAAGAGAATCAGTTAAAAGTAAAATAATTAATTATTTTTAAAATGTCATTTATTGAACATGTTTTTTAAAAACATACCTGTAAAACTGTTACTACTAACAGCTGCTATAACTAAAAAGTTCTCTACTAAGAATCCTTATGATTAAATCAAAGTATACTATCTTAAAGGGCATTCAAAGGGGAAAACAATGTCTTTTGTTTTTTCCTTTAAAAGGTGGCCAATGTGGAATACTAGTTTTTTGTCCAGCCTGGATTTTTATAATTTTGCTTGTCAATATTCATTATGCTGTCTGGAGCTATAAAACCACTCTCAACACCATTATTTTGTATCATTATTTTAATGGCACTTAACCTGCTTAAAAAAAAAAAGATATTCTACAAACAAATCAGTAATTAAGGCTGCAAATCAACTAGGAGATATGCAAGTTGCAAATCTGAGATGACTTAAAATTTTCAACATTATTTTAGAGAGAACAGCCCTTCAAGAACACTTATACAAATAACTGGACCAAATCAGAGTTTTGACCATAATGAAGCACTTGTAAGAATATCAATTCAAATGAGTTCAGTTTTCTAAGCCAATTTCTTTGGGATGTCAATGTGTCATCACATACTATTATCTCTCACTTTTTTTTTTATCACTCAAAGTGTTAGCATAGTGCCTAGTATGATATGTTGAAAGCAACAACTTAAAACTTTTCTTTCTAAACTTTTCTTCTTGACTAAAATTTAGAAGGTTTCTTTAGAGCTGAATTTCTTCCTACATCAACACAACTCCTACTCCACCCCCCCCCAAAAGTCCAAATAGCATTTATGATTCAGTTAGGGTATGGGGGCAGAGGGGGCAGAAGAGGGCAGGAGGGAGACTATATCACATTAACTGCATTTGTCAAAGTTCCTGTAATGAAAGCACCACATGAAAACCTGTTATAATGATGATCTCTGACAGTAGGACTTTATTTTCACTATGATTTTCTCTGTAGTGACATAGCTATATTTTGAGGGTTATTTTTCATTATGAAAAACTCTGCATCTTGGACTAAGCTAGGCCCAGATCCTGAGCCTTATTTTGTATAGCACAGCTAAAAAAATACCTTAATACTGGCCATTCCTGGCAAAATCTCATTCTCCAGCCTTACTTATAGGTAATAGCAGATGATTGTTTATAGAGAAGTAGAGGACACAGTCTTGACTGTTTTGTCTCTTTCTCTGTAAATTTTTATTGTAGGGTTGCTAAAGAAAATTGGAAAAGTGAGGCTGGCCCTTGTAGAGAAAAACATACACACATCCTTCTACATGAGATTAGCCCAGGAAACATAGTAGTTGCTGAGTTTTGTTTTTGTTTTGAGAAAAGGAGTCACAATTATAGAAGAAATATGCTCTGAAAACCTCTGATACAATTATTTTCAAATTTTTATTTCCAAGGATAATTTGTGAGGTACTTACTTTGTTTACCACTGCTTTAGAACAATATAATCCAAAGACTATATACTGGCAGATCCCAAGGCCTATTCTCTGTAATCTGTATGTTTATCATGAATAAGTCAAGTTTTGTTTCTGACCCAATATAATAGTTTACTTATGATATCACTCATTAACTGTCTTTATCAATAACAGCTCAATTCACCTAATTAATTCTGGTGAACTAATGGGTTTTGGTAGTATATAGTGAGTATGACATTAAAAGGGTCAAATGGTATCCCAGAGTTGGATCTGAGGATGAGAGAAACTGTACCTTAGATTCTAAAACTCTTTCAAGTTCTCTTAACTGGTGATTAAAAGACAGTAGCCCTGTACCCTATCTATATTCACCTAAAAAAAAATCTCTAGATTAACAGGAGATTTGCACTCAGAGAAAAAAAGTTGCTGTGATACCAGAAAAATCTGTCTCACATAGATTAAATCATTCCCATCCACCATGGACCATTTCTGATTTTAAAACTGTGATCCTCCAATTCAATTTACTGATCATTATGGTGACAATACTCAATTAAGTTCCTATGAAAGTGACAGCATTTGATTTCAGCTCAAAAGAGGAAATTCAAGCTGGCCAAGTAATCAAAGTTTTAATATCCTGCGTTTTGATATACGTATGATTCTTGTTAACTATATAACCATTTAAAATTTTCCTTGGGGGTAGGAGAAAGAAGCAAGGGGCTTCATGGGCCATATGTAAACTAAATTCAAATTCAGAAGGGTAATAATATCCAGCAATCATTGAAGTCTGTGAAAAGTTACCCCCAATTAACTTTTAATTAGCTCAAACACCTATCTATTCAAACCACCAAAACTCAATGTCTCCTCTAATCCAGAATCAAAACTGCAAAATGCATTTACGTCATCATGAAAATGATCCACTGGCTATTTTCTGTTATTAACTAAGCTTTACTGACTTCTACCATCAAAGTTTCCTCAAGTTGGTTTTCTAAGAGTACAATGGAAAAAAAAAAGCTAAGACTATTTCCTAAGCAGAGTAAAAAAAACATAGCATTTACTGCATTTAGAAGACTCAGGATCCAGATGTCAAATAATATTTACATGTAAGACTCAGATATGACTGTTAAGCATTCCTTTCATCAAGCCAAGGGTTCATCTCGGGTAACATGAAAATTTGTGTGGCTTCTTATTTCAACCAAATTACAAACATCATCTATCTACTAGTTGCAATTCACAAAAAGCAAATAAATATTTGTGTAGATGCCAAAAGGAAATCATATTCTCCATCAAAAAGGCACATTTCTTTCTTAAGATCAGTAAGGTATGAAATAAAGTACATACTAGTATTTTAAAACCCCAAATCAGTATACCTGCATCCTTCCTACCTATACAATGTCAATTTCATATACTTTATAAAGGCATTCAACAATGAGGTTTCTGAGGATAGGTAACTATATAAGTTGCTTCAAAAGCATCCTTTCCTTTCCCCACAGTTATTCCACCCTTGAGAAGGTGACTGTTCTTTTAACCTGAAAATTATAGCAGCTCACAAGAAGCTTGGTTAACTAATACTGTGAAGGTTTAAAGTTTTAATCCCTCTCCTCAAAAATTTTATTTGGGGGTGCTTAACTGCCATTTATCTGTTCAGTGAATTAGGTGAACTAGGAAGAGCTATTGCACAACTGCTAACAGTACAATTTCCATTCTTTGATGCATAAACTCTTTAAAAAGAAGAAATTTGGAAACCACTGGAGATTCACTTTTCTAACATATGGGCCATGAAACAACTGTTTACCTGCCATAAAGTACATGTTTCTGAGAAAAGGCCTGACCTGAATCATTCTTGGGGCTGAAATTAGGCTTTTAACACTAATGCGATTACTATACATGTATAACCTATATCAAATTTCTTGCCTTCTCGATGAGGAGGAAGAGCATTTGGAATTCCATTTTAAAAACTAATGTTGAAAACTGTTTTTACATGTAATTGGGGAAAAATAAAATACTAAATTAAAAAAAATTAATGCCATCTATTACAACTGTGAGTGAAAAGGCATCTCAAGTTAAATCTAGAAAACAAAAATCTTACAATTTTGGTTGAAAATAAAACAAAAACTAGACCTTCTTGCAACTTAAGTATGTGCTGTCATTTACAAATTGAAGTGTTTGTGTTAAGATACAAGAAGGGGCAGCAAACAAGCTAATGATTAACAACTACGTCTGAGTTGTTTGGGTGTTTTGTTAAAGGCTATGCTAAAAATATTCACCCATAAAAGTGCAAAATAAAAAGATTATTCTTAACTAAATTACAATCCTTACAATGGTGGCTAAAGGCAACATAATCAAAGTGGACCAAACCTGTGACCTGTCATCCAGCTATATACAGTAGTGTTCATGACAGAACTAGAATATTGTCACATATCTGATACCACTTGTCTGCAATAATTTTTTAAGTGTATTTCAAAATATACATTGAAGTCACATTACTGTGTAAGGCAAATATTTAGTGGAAATAAATGTAAATTTTATGATGTTTCATTTATAAAAGTATAGTTTTGCTTTATTACTATCAGAAAGCTAGACCAGTGAATGGCATTTCTTTAACTAAAACACATTTTATATTTTTTTTTAAAAAAGAAACATATGTTCTCTGAAGTTCCCACACTCTGAGATATTTTTTGTTCATTTAAAAATTGGTGACATTGAAGTAAAAGCATTTTCCAGTTTAAGATAAATGTGAAATCAAATAATTAACCATATATATATATGAACGGTCACAATACTTGCTCTGCATCTTTCAGGCCATTTTTGAGACTTCAACTACCATTTTTATAATACAACTATGAATAAAAACAGAAATTCATTACAAAATACAAATGTATTGGTCACAAGTAGGTAGAAAAAAGTAAGCTGTAATATATGTTCTCCATGTAAGCTCACAGTATCCATACTGAAGTATCCATACTGAATCTAAAATTAAAATAAGGTCACTAATATAGTAACTGAAGATAAGCCTTCAGCACTATGAAACAGAAGATATGGGATTAAGAGGAGAGCCCATTTGAGTAAGTACTTTATCCAACCATTGTAGAGGGCCATGAAGATGAATTTCAATCCAGCATGGAGTACTGGTAACATCTTGCCGGTGATATTCAGCTCCCCAGCCCTATAAAGATTAAGATAACTATATTAAATTCCTCCTCAGACTGTTACAACATAGTATGTTTTTGTTGAGATGTAATTTTAACTTTCTGATATACAAAATGTACTTTAAAAAAAACACTCCTGTAAAAGAGTGATGAAAATTATTACTTATGAATCTAAACAAGTGGCAGTTATAATAAATAAATCAACATGCTGTTCATACACATAATTGATTTTGGGGGGCAAGTCTTGTAATTTCAATGATGTAGGGGTACTCATAATGAGTAAATTCTCCTCACTAATGCAGATCAGCAACATTTTGCAATTTAAAATCTTAAGAGAGTTGAAAGGTATTATTAAAATAAAGACTAGAATTTAAGCCTTCAATAAATTACTCTAGGTAGAGCTATGACTCACTTAAAAAATGATCACTGCCCTTTAAGGGTGAAAGAAGCTATTTACTTAATTCCAATTCAGAAAGAATTTTGTTTTTTTCCTAACTTCCTCTAACCTTCCCTGTCTGGATCTATCCACTTGATGATATATGTAAATTGGAGGTGAGAACGCAAAGAAAATTAGCAGGCATGTTAAAATCATTTTCCTAGTTATCCTGTCTTCCTATAAAAAAGTAAAACATCCTTAACTAATATGCTATTATTAATAGAATAATACCAGCTATATGCATAGTGAAGGAACAATGGTCCACTCAGTCTTCAGAAAAGGGAAAACCAAAGCATGAAAGTATTTGGTAATTCTTCTCTGACTTTGTCCTCAGTGCAATGTAACAGCAGCATTAAAGTATTAATATGAAACAAAACCACTCTTCTCAGTTTTACTCATGAAACAACACTAATTTTGAAAAGCTTATATATTCATCTGAAAGCTCTCAGAACTGTGTCACTCTTAGAAAGCAGCTCTCAGCTACACAAAACAATTCTTAAGACAAAAGCCCACTTAAATAATATATTAATATTAAAATTACTGACAGCAAGATGGTCATTTTCCCATAGAGCTCCCAACTATACCTGGCCTCCTCAGTAGTTAAACTTAGAATTTTCTCTTTATAGTTTATGATCTGGAGCATAGCAATAAATTTGGGAATATCTTCTGCTGACATTTTATTTTATTTTTATTTTTATTTATTTATTTGTTTGTTTTTTAGAACAGGGATTGTTTAATTCTTTGAATTTGTATCCTCAGCACCTAGTATAGGGGACGCATAGCACATAGTCAATGCTCAATAACTACCTGCTGAAGCTCAGTTCAAATCCTACCTTCTTAAGCCTTTCCCTGTCCCTGTCTGTATCCCTCCCACTGAGATTACCTTTTCCTTCTACTCTATATAGCTTTATTATTCTTTTTTTATTAATTTATTTTGAATTATCAATAATCACTTCTATAAGCTTTTGAGTTTTAAATTTTTCTCCCCCTTCCCCTCCCTTTCTCCCCTAGACGGCATGCAATCTAATACAGGCTATACATATATTCCTATTAAAGACATTTTCACATTATTCTGCTGACATTTTAGAGACATTAAGTCATGTAAAAAGCAATACTCAGTATCTCAACTGCATTCATAGAATAATCAAATTTGTTATTTTTTTCCCATTAGAACTTACAGAAATCCAAATATTGAGGGGTGAAGCACCACATGGTAAATCAAATCAGGTCAAAACACAATCTACTCACCTTTACAAAGCTCATTCGAATTGTACACATTTTGGTGAGTTCATAGACTGCCTCAAATCCATGGTTGACAGACTGAGCCAAAAGCTGAGCAAACTCTTGATTGTTAAAAATCTTTAGGCTACAGCCACTAGGAATCTTACAAACAGTGGTAGGATGAAAGCCATGATGAAAGTTGCAGTTTCTACTCTGTACAAATATGCTGCTGTCACTCAGGCACTCGGCATAGACTTCCCCTCCAACATAATAAAGGTGAACCCCTTGCAAAGAAATTCATTAAAAATAAATATTTAAATAAATGTCAATTACTAAGATCACAAATATAATTTTTCTTTATGCAAGGTTTATATAACACATGCTCCAGGCAACCACTAGATGGCAATCTTGTGCCATTTATATAACAGGATGCGCTCTCTTGTCATACTCAAATGACAACCAAGTCAAATTTGTATCTATTCTGGTATTTTTGTTTCTCATATTTCTTTCTTTTTACCCTGAATAATCTTTAGAACGATGGAACAGAAGGCCTTTAGATGAGTCTTTAATGTTAGGTTCTATATAAACTACTTTTAAAACGGAATTTAGCAAAGCACTTCCCAATTATTTCTAATGGAAAAAATGTTATCTAAATTCAATAATTTTAGGATACACTTATATAATTTATTGAACAGATGTCCTAATTTGTTCTGGGGTAGATGTATATCAAAATTATTTCAGTCTCCAAAGGAACATGAATGAAAGGGTATGTTTCATAGGGCAAAGCTGCCATAACATTTAAGAAACTGCATATAATCCACATGAAAATCTACTCATGCTAATTCCAAATTTCATTCCATAAGCACGTGGATACATTACCCTTACTAGGCAGGAGAAGAAAATGATGCATGGAATTTCTTCTAAGTCTGAGCGACTAAGTAATACAGATAGAAATAAAAGTCCTTTTATTATGAAATTGATTTTTCTCCCACAACTGCTCTAACAGAGTAATGAATGTATTCTATAATATATTACTAGGTCCATCATCATATCTAACTAATATTTGAAACAAGACAGACAGCAGGAACTTTAAAACCAGTTGCCCCAACCAAAAACACTCAAAAGCTCTGAATATAAATAAAAACTCACTGGTAAGATAAGAACACAGGTCTCAAGTCAGGAAGACCAGGATTCAAATTCTACCTGATATAATAAGTTAAAAAAAAAGCTAGAAAAGCTTTGTGATCATAGTCACTTACCTACCCTAGTCCTCAGTTTCTTCCTTTAAAAAATGAATGGATTAGATTCTATGACTTCTAAAGCCACGTCTAGCTCTAAATCTATGACCTATGAACTATTAAGGAGGCAGTCTGGATTTCACATTGAATGACCTGGGTTCAAAAATCCTGGCTCTGTTACATGATTCTGGACAAGTTATTTCTATTCTCTGGACCTCAATTTCTTCCACTGTAAAAAATTAAGAGTTTTGAAGCAGATGATCACAAAAATCACAAATCATATTACCTTTTCCAATATGCCGCCTGGTGTTTTCAATTGTTGAGTTACGATTAACATTTGACAATAGACCTAAGCAGAATCTACTTTTGTTGTTGGACGGATCTGTAAATCCATCAACTAAAACACTTGTTGAAGATGCATGAAAAGCTTCTCCAACTCGATTATTTAATTCATAATAGACAATGGAACACCAGTGCTTGGGCTCTTCATAAGCAACAGGTTGGACATCTGTAAATGAATCACACGCAAGGAAATAATCAATATCTCACAACAAAAATTCTGTCATTTTTACTGTGGTTTCAACGCATAAAAATGAAACTTTTTTAAACTTTACTTTTTATTATCAGTTCCAAATCTCCAAATCATCTTTTTGCCTCAACCCGCTCGAGAAGGCAAGAAATATGATATGCATTAGATAAAAAAAGCAAAATAAAGAGAAAAAATTATGCTTCAATCTGAAACCATTAATTCTCTCTCTGGAGAAGGACAGCATTTTTCATCATGAATTCTTTGAAATGGTTTGGATTATTGAATTGATCAGTTGTTCAGTCTTTCATAGTTGATTATCTTTACAATATGGCTATAATTGTGTAAATTAAATCTTCCCAGGCTTTTCTGAAATCATCCCTTTCATCATTTCTTACATTACAATGTATTCCATCACTTTAATATTCCATAACTTGTTCAACCAATATCCAATTGATGGCATGCCCTCAATTTCCAATTCTTTGCCACCACAAGAGCTGCTAAAATATTTTTGTACATATATACATCCTTTTCCTTTTATCCTTTTGGGGCATAGGTCTATTAAGTATTGCTGGGTCAAAGGGAGTTTAATGGCCCTTTGGGCATGGTTCCAAATTGCTCTCCAAAATGGGCAGAGCAGTTCACAACTCCACTAACAGCACATTAATGTCCCTATTTCCTCACATCCCCACCATCATTTGTCATTTTCCCTTCCTGTCATCTTAGCCAATCTGATGGGTATGAGGTAGTACCTCACTTATTTTCACCTGCATTTTTGTAATTATTAGTGATTTAGAGCATTTTTATCAAGCTAGTGACAGCTTGGATTTCTTCCTCTGAAAACTGTGTCCATATCCTTTAAACCTGTATCTATCAATTGAAGCTAAACTTTTATCAGAGAAACTTGCTATAAACATATATCCCACAGTTTCCTGCTTTTTTTTTTTCTTTCTTTCTAATTTTGGCTACACTGGTTTTGTTTATAGAATATAATCAAAATTATTCAATTTACTACTTGTGAACCTATCTTTTGTGTGGTCAAGAACTTTTCCCCTCTCCACGGATCTGACAGGTAATTATTTCCAGGCTCATCTAGTTTGCTTATGATATAAACATTTTTTATTTAAATCATGTACCCATTTTAAGCTTTTCTTGGTATATGGTATGAAATTTTGGTTTATGCCTGGTTTCTGTCAGACTACTTTTCCCAATAGTTTTTGTGAAAAAACTATTTGTGAGTTCTTGTCCCAGGAGCTGGGATCTTTGCATTTATCAATCACTAGGTCACTGTATTTGCTTGCTTGTATACTGTGTACCTAATCTATTCCATTCTATTTCCTATCCAGTACCAAACTGTGACAACTACAGCTTTATATTATAGTCTGAGATCTGGTACTGGTAGGCCATCTTCCTTCACATTTTTGTTTCACTGAATCCCTTGCTATTCTTGAATTTTCGTTCTTCCAGATGTACTTTCTATTATATTTTTCTAGTTCTATATACTTTGGTAGTTTGAATGTTATGAAATTGAATAAATTTAGGTAGTAATGTCATTATAATGACTCAGTCTACCCATGAGCAATTAATATTTCTCTAATTACTTAGATCTGTCTTTATTTGATGGAAAAGTGTTTTGTAATTATATTCATATAGTTCCTGTGTTTGTCTTGGCAGGTAGACTCCCAAACATTTCATACTACATGCAGCTATTTTAAATGTAATCTTCTTTCTATTTCTTCCCCCTGCTGGGTTTTGTTGGTAATGTACATCATCATATCATTTGCAAAAAGTGACAGCTGTGTTTCCTCATTGCCTAGGCTTATTCCTTCAAATATTTTTATTGTCTTAATGCTATAGATAGCATTTCTAGATAGCACGATACTGAATAATAATGTTGACAATAGACAGCTTTATTTTACTCTTGATCTTACTGAAAAGGTTTCTAGTTTATCCCCATTACAAATAATATTTGCTCTTGATTTTAGATAAATATTTTAAGAAAAGTTCCATTTAATTCTATGCTTTCTAGTGTTGTTGTTTTTTATAGGAATGAGTATTGTATTTTATAAAAAATTTTCTGCATCTATCAATATTAGTCACATTAATAATTTTAGTGGTTTTTGTTATTGATGTGGTCAATTACGCTTATAGTTTTCCTAATACTGAATCATCCCTGTGCGTTTTCGGTATAAATCCAACCTGGTCTTAGTATATGATCTTTGTGACGTATTGCTGTAATCCCCTTGCTAGCATTTTATTTAAATGTTTTGCATCAACATTCATTATGGAAACTGGTCTATAGTTCTCTTTCTCTGCTTTTGCCTTCCCTGGTTTAGGTTATCAAAACCAGATTTGTGTCAAAGAAATTTGGCAGGACTCCTTTACCTATTTTTTTTCAAAGAGTTTAATAGCATTGGAATTAATTGTTCTTTAACTGTTTGGTAGAATTTACTTGTAAATACATCTGGTTCTGAATTTTTTTTTTCCTTAAAGCTCATCTATAGATCTGGTTCAATTTCTTTTTCTAAGATAGAGATGTTTAAGTATTCTATTTCCTCTTCTGTTAATCTGGGCAATTTATATTTTTGTAAATATTGCTCCATTTCAAAAAAGGAAACTTTCAAACATTTTCCCTAATCTAAACATGTTGGAAATTAGCAAAAGGAGAGTAAAGTATGTTAAAGCCCTATGATTGTATACCTAAAACATGAGGAAGAAGTCTCTCATACTTCTTGAATACCAAGTGAATATTAAATATAAACAAGAGAAGCAAATACAGGAAATATACATAGTACAAATAATTTATTTCTAACAAATATATTCTAACACATTTATTCTAACAAATATAATAAAATATAAATTATAAAAATATAATATACAAAGAAAACACAAAATATAATTATAATAAATATATAATAACTTGGCAGAAGTACCAAGTACAAATTCTATGTTGAGAATCAAACTGAAAACATGGATATTTTATGAAAATGTCTGCCACTTCCATTATGCCTTTTGACCAAATGTCATATTTTTCCCTCTATTATTTCATATTTGAAAGTTTTATTTAAGCTACAACTTTCTAGACCTGAGTAAAAACTTTTTGTCTTGATGCCAATTTTATACATACAAATAAAAGTATAAAAGAGACAACTAAAAGGTGACCACCTGACTAAAACAGGAACAAGCAACTGAGAGCATGTCGGTCAAAGGGCAGAGTAGCTCTAAAGCCAAAGGTAGTAAAATAACTTTCTGACACTAAAGCCAGATTCTTCTCTTTGCTCAGCTGGACATATTCCAGGGCCCACCAGATGACTAGTCATAGCCACTCTCACTGGACAAGGACAGTAAGTACCGACACACACTGTGTGTCACCAGAGATAGTTCATGTGAGCAAGTAAACCAGGGAGAGCTCTAAGTGGGTCCCAGAGTGTGAAATCCAGTCAAGTCCCTGTTATCCCAGCAGAAACTGAGCAAAGAAGGAATACAGTAGGAACTCCTATGCAACTGAAAGGAGAGGGCAGACACAGGTAATATTATAACCTCAAGTATAACGAAGGAAGCAGACAGCTGCATCCTAAGGCCACCAAAGTATGGGCAGGAGTTTCAAGAAGGTACTATTGGCACTTACTGCTTGTTTGATGTGTTCTGGTTATGGACTCAAACCTAAAGTGTATTGAATTACACACATACACACACACACACACACACACACACACACACACACACACGGGTGAAAAAGAACATTAAAGAGCTATATGTTTATTTTTACCTCTGTTGGATATATTCGGCATAATCTGAGGAATCATATTATTGCTTGTATCCATAGACTGAGAATTATCTTGACCCATCTGGTCATCAGGAGGCATATAAGCAGGAGGGGGAGTATCAGCTATAAGTAAAGAAAATAAAATTAATGAAGCATTCACAAAGGACAGCTAAAGTTTTGGGCTTTCTCTAAGTTATCAAGAAAGTATATAAAAATAAACTTCATGGAAAATGCTCAGTTTATTTTTACAGGGAAATCTTACTAAATTATAATTTTTAAACAGAAATATCAGGAATTAAAGTCAATATAAAATCATAAATGAATCTGTATATGGATTCCTAGCAAAAAGGGAACATTTCACAGTGCAAAAATGGGCATAATATAAGACAAAAATGGTAAAACCTTAACAGAAACTGAAGAGATTAAGAAGAGGTATCAAGAATACACAAAAGAAGCAAACAAGAAAGATCTTAACATCACTGACAACCATGATGGTGTGGTTATTGATCTAGAGCCAGACATCCTGGAGCATGAAGTCAAGCAGGCCTTAGGAAGAACTGCTAACAGTGAGGCTAGTGAAGGTAATGGAATTCCAGCTGAGCTATTTAAAATCCTAAAAGATGATGTTAAAGTGGTGCACTCAATAAGCCAGCAAATTTGGAAAACTCAACAGTGGCCACTGGATTGGAAAAGATTAGTTTATGTCTCAATCTTAAAAAAAAGGGCAATGCCAAAGAATCTTCAAATTGCCAAACAATTGTGCTCATTTCACATGCCAGCAATATTATGCTTAAGATTCTACAAGCTAGGCTTCAGCAATATGTGAACCTCCAAGAATTATCAGAAAAGCAGGCTGGTTTTCAGAAGGGCAGAGGAACTGGAGACCATATGGCCAACAATAGATGGATTATGAAGAAAGAAAGGAAGTTGCAGAAAAGCACCTATTTCAGCTTCATTTACTACACTAAAGCCTTTGACTATGTGGATCACAACAAAATATGGCAAATCCTCAAAGATATGGGAGTAACAGATCATCATACTTGTCTCCTGAGGAACCTGTATGAGGGTCAAGAAGCGACAGTTAAAACTGAACATGGAACAACTGATTGATTTAAGAATGGAAAAAGAGTACAAAGCTGTATATTGTCACCTTATTTATTTAACTTCTGTGCAGAGTACATCATGTGAAATGCGAGGCTAGAATTAAGGTTGCCAGCAGAAATATCAATAATCTCAGATATGCAGATGATACCATGGCTGAAGGTGAAGAGGAATCAAGAAGGCTCTTGAAGGTGAAAGAGAAGAGTGTAAAAGCTGGCTTGAAGCTCAACACTCATCAAAAAACTAAGATCTTGGCAACTGATCCCATCATTTCCTGGCAAACAGAGGGAGAAAAAATGGAAGCAGTGTCAGATTGTATATTCTTAGGCTCAAAGATCACTGCAGACAGTAACTGCAGCCATGAAATTAAAAGATTCTTGCTCCTTGGAAGGAAATCTATGGCAAATCTGGACAGCATATTAAAAACCAGAGATGTCACCTTGCCAACAGAGGTCTATATAGTCAAAGATATGGTTTTTCCAGTAGCAAAATATAGCTGTGAGAGTTGGACTATAAGGAAAGCCAAGCACCGCAGAACTGATCCTTTCAAGTTGGGGTGCTGGAGAAAACTTTTTTTTTTCTTTCTGATGAGGCAATTGGGGTTAAGTGACTTGTCCAGGGTCACACAGCTAGTGAATATCAAGTGCCTGAATCCAGATTTAAACTCAGGTCCTCCTGACTCCAGGGCCTGTGCCCTGTCCACTGCACCACCTAGCTGCCCCTGGAGAAGACTTTTAAGAGTCCCTTGAGCAGCAAAGAAATCAAATCAGTTAATACTTAAAGAAATTAATTCAGACTATTCACTAGAAGGTAAGATATTGAAGCTGAAGCTTAAATACTTTGGCCACATAATGAGAAGACAGGACTCACTGGGAAAGACTCTGATGTTGGGAAAGACTGAAGGCAAAAGAAAATGGGATGGCAGAGGATGAGACAGATAGTGTCATGGAAACAATGAACATAAACTTGAACAGACTTCAAGAGATAGTGAAGGATAGAAAGGCCATGGGGTCACGAAGAGTTAGACACAACTGAACGACTGAACAACAACAATCTTTGCCGTAGATAAGATCATGAGCAAAAGATTCTTTTATTTTGCAAGTTTTTCTCCTACTTATTTGCTCATAATACTTAGAACTACAGTCTTTTGCAAGTTAATTTTGAAGAATAGAGATTACCCCACTGTGAATATACTTCCACAGGGACAGACTGAAATGCTAAAAATGACTACCAAAAACATTAAGTAACCTAAAACTTACATTATTCAAATTTGCCCATAAAACTGTGCTACCAGCCCAATTCACTTAGGAGTTCAAATATTTCACTGTAAGAAAGCCGAAGAAATACTAAGGAAGTTCAGTCACAGTTCACTTCTTACCTATAGTTAATAACTGAATTGTTGTCAACATGTAAAAGATCTCAGTTTTAAAAATTTGTCAGTTTAAAGAAAATCAGCATAATGAAACTACTTAATACCAATGGCATCTTAAACCAAAAGTTTGCTTATGTGAGGAAGAAACTGTATAAAATGTTTTCATATAGCTAAATCCATTTAAGAATTTAACAAAAATTTTATTTTTATATGGAAAAAATTATATTTTAAAACATGTACATAAATATTTCTAAGACATACCCCTCACAACCACAAAAGTCACAGGTAACTTGAGGGATAGGAGAAAAATTACTTCAGGGTTCAACTACTGATTAGACTTGTGCCAAGGAACCATTATCCTTTATACTCAATTTCACTGACAGGATACCTACTGTCACTTTATCCATACTTTTGTTATAATTCAGTCATTTCATTCATGTCTGACTCTTCACTACCCCATCTGGGGTTTTCTTGGCAAAGATACTGGAGTGGTTTTCCATTTCCTTCTCTAGCTCCTTTTACAGATAAGCAAAAGGCAAACAGGGCTAAGTGACTTGCCCAGGGTCACACAGCCAGTAAGTGTCTGAGATCAGGTTTGAGCTCAGGAAGATGAGTCTTCCTGACTCCAGGCACAACACCACTTAGCTTCCCATAATGAACACTTATGTTATCTGATGTTTCATTAAAATGACAGGGCATAAGCCCTTAGATAAAATCTGTCACTTTGGATCTGAAGACCACAATCTCATCCTAGCCACCAGTCATACAGAATTCTCCTTCTGTATTAATATCAAAAGCTATTCACTAAGATCTCAAAATGCTTTGGAACCATCAAAACATTCTCTCTTTTAGCACTGTGCCGAGCACACAGTAAGTACTCAAATACTTTATCATTCATTCATTCTTCAATCGCTTTCCCCTCTTGCCCCCAATTTAGAAATAAAGGACACTAACTATTTGGATTTCCGTAATGAAAGTTAAAAAAGAATTTAGGATCCTCCTCTGTGCAACATAAAAATAAGTGTGCACTTTAAAGATAGTTTATTACAATACAGCAATTTTGATGTGACATTATTTTAGTTTAAATGCAAGGCTAACTATATATCATATACCCCCAAAACCTGATTTTCCTTTTGACTTGTGAGATTAGAATCATGTCAGTTATTAGCAATTAAGGAACGTTTAACAAACAAAAAGTCACCATAGGTAGGGTCAAGTGAAGGTTTCTGCAGAATGGGAGAGATCTGGTTATATTTATAGGCAGACAAAAAGGGGTCAATAGATAAAAGAGTATGAAATTTAGGGACAGAGAGAAGATGACTCAAGGGACAAGTTCCTGGAAAAGATAGCAGGGATAGGATCAAGGGCATAAGTAAAGGGGTTTATGTTTTTAAGAAAAGCCACACAGCATAATTCTCAAAGTAAAAAAGGATTCACTCCTCCTAAGTGAAAGAGAATTAAGAAAATATCCACAGCAATGATGAAAGGCTCACTTTTCCCTGTGATTCAGGTACAGAGTAAAAGATAAGGTCTGGATGACAGTTATAAAAGCCACAAGCAGCACTATTTACCACACACCTAATCTACACAAGACACTAGTAATGTTTACTAAACAAACATTTACCTTCCTTGGAAAAATGTTAGTAGTTCTCACAAATCATTCAGAATCTAAACCCAAGTACTGTATTCACAGCTGAAAGGTCTTCATCTTTCATCTCAGAGAAGGCATATGTTACATGTTAACAATGTAAAGCAAACAAACCTAAGCCATTAGCTAGAGACATAGCCATATTTTTTTTTTCCCTATTTCCAAACTCTTTTTCACTTGTCTGGCTATTATGTTACTGGTATCTCCACTGTACCCTGTCTACAACAAAAATAGATTATTAGCCTCCTCCAACTTCTACATACTAAGAAATATCCTTTAAGTGCAGTGACTTGCATATGCACTACAACATTCTGTTATCTATGGTATTCTCAATTTGAATGCAGCATTTATACTCATTGCAGACTTCAAAACTGTTTGGGGTAATTGGAAAAAACACTGGACTCAGATGAGACAGGCTTTTTTTTTTTACTTACTACTTGTATAACTTTGGACAAATCACCTTACCTTTCTGGTCCTCACTTGCATCACCTGCAACATAAGCCAGGCCTAGGTTATGGCTGTTCTTTACTTTCTCTCCTAATTCAAAATGTTATGTCCTATTTGCCTCTGTTTGTTTCTTGGTCATATTCCTAATTAGTTCAATCATTTTTTCAGCTGTGTCCAATTCTTTGTGATCCCCATTTAGGTTTTTTTCTTGGTGGAGTGGTTTGCCATTTTTTCCTCCCGCTTATTTTACAGAAGAGGAAACTGAGGCAAACAGGGTTAAGTGACTCACCCAGGGTCACACAGCTAGTATGTGTCTGAGGCCAGGTTTGAGCTCAGGAAGATGAATCTTCCTGACTTCAGACCTGGTGCTCTATCCATCAAGCCACCTAACTGCCTACACATTCCTAATACATGAATCCAAATGCCGCTTGTTCTTAATTTTAAGGTCACAATTCTGCCTGGTGTATCCTATGTCTCCCTATGGCCACATCCATACATTTCCGAACCTTCCTCACCTGCAAGGTAATTACTACTTATCCATATCAATCTATAAAACTGGGTATGGACCTTAAATTTGTCATTTTTATTCATATGTACTCAAATGTTTAAGATGCCATAGACATTAGACATAATCTGACATTACAGAAAAGAATATTGGGAACATCAGAAACCAGAGGCTACAAGAGATTAAATTACATAAAGAAAAAAATGTGAACTGGTAATTCATATATTATTTATTACTAACTCTTAAATATCTTATTGAAACATTCTAAGTGAAAGGTATAAATTCATTATCGAAGTATCTCACTTTCATGTTTTGAAATTTTCGTACAAGTAGAAAAGTTCAGTGCAATCATCTGAAATCCTGGTGGAATGGCATGATAATAATACTCATACAGTACCCACCATGTGCCAGGTACTGCGCTAAGCACTTCACGGTTATGATTTCTTTTGAATTTTCACAACAACTCTGGGAGGCAGGTGCTACTACTGTCCCCGTTTTACAAATGAGGATATCATGCTTAACTGAACATTTGGTTTCAACTCTTGCTGCTAAAATCTCATGACACATTATTATTCTGCTTTCCTGCTTTGACAAGTAGAATATATACTAAATATAAGCTTTCTATCTCAATTATCTTGTTGCCCACAGGCCCAGCCTTTATTTACCAGATCAAAGTGTAGACAGGGCTAACCAACCCTGACTGAAACAGATAATCAGGGATTTATAAGAAAAAACAACTTGAGAGTTTGTTCTTGTTTTCCATTGTTTTCTCCCATGAAAGGAAGGCAGTGACAAAAAAAATTCACCTAAATGGAGGTTCTAGACCAGGGGTGGGGAACGGCCTTGAGGCCACACGTGGTCTTTTAGGTCATTGGGTACTACTTTTTGCTTGAATACAAGTTTTACAGAACAAATCCTCAAAGGCCACACTTGAGGACCTAGGACTGGCCACCCCAGTTCTAGTCATTTGACTTTGCTATCAGTCTATACCTGCCTATTAACTCATAACTAGCAAACAATATACAAGTGACCTTTCAAATAATCTAGAAATTAGTGTCTCACTATTCAAAGCAAATTATTTTACCAACTACTAAAAATAGAAAACTGCTGCTTTTTAAAGCCAAATTTGAACTCTATGATGCTTATTATAAAAAACCCCTAATAGGAATACCAAAGATCAAATATTTTTATGACCACTTTTTAAAAGGCAGTGATCATAACATGTTAAATTTATTATATATACTTGTACATTCTTAAAGAAAAAAGCAGGCTGTAAGAGATTCATAATTTTACATGAAACTCTTTTTTCTACTTTACTTTGTTTATGGAAATATTGTGTCTGTCTCTCCCTGACACATCCCTCTCCTCCCCTCAGTGAGTTTTTTAAATTCAGAATTTTTTTTAAAGGCAAGAGTCAAATTTAATCTTTCTTAAATGAAAACAGATCATTTCAAAAAATAAAGTTAATTCTAGCATCCTCAGGTTATATAAGTTCTATCTGTAGGATGATCTGAGATTTAGAGAGATCAAATAAAATTAATTCTTACCTGGAAGTTGAAATGGACTTCCTGGTCCAGAACTGGCAGGAGAGTTGGGATATGTGCTGCTAGCTGGAGAAGGAGGATAAGGGCTATTCGGTGATAAGGGGAAAGGAGTGTTGTTGGGCTGCTGGAAAGAATCTGGAAATGTAGCATTCTGTGGCATATGTGGTTCATTGTGGCTTAGATTCCTGAACTGAACCAAAAGGCTGTGTTGCGGATTGAATTCACTATGTCGAGGCACTAATACTGGAGGTAAGACTGGAACAGAACAAAAGATAGTGTCAAAAATGTAAAATAAATACTCAACACATTACCATTGTGACTAATTAAATATTTGCAAAGGTTAAGGATTTAGAAACATATACGTTAAAAACTCCTGTCTTTTGAGAGGTATGCCTTACAGAATTAATTCAAGCCTGGGTTGAATCTAGCATCCAACAATTACTAGCTAAGTGACTATAACAAGTCCCTTTATCTAAGTCTCAGTTTCTCATTTGAAAAATGAGGATGATATTTATCTCTCTGATTGAGCTGTCAAGGTCAAATGAGATAAGGTAGGCACAATTCTTTGGAAACTATAAAGGGCTATATATTTCGGCTATTATTAACTTATTGTTCATATCTGCCATTTTTAAACTTATTCTTTTCAAAGACATGACTTCATCTTATTATTAAAGGCCCTGCCCACCCCATGTGAATCATGGAAAATTAGGAATTTAGCAGTACACTAAGTGAAAAATACCAGAAAAAACAATTAACTAGATAGAGTAAGAGCCAGTTTATAAACTAGAAATACAAGAAATAATACTGGACTAATTAGTCACTATATCTCTAGCAAATTCACTACATTAAATTAAATAAAATGAAATGTAGCTCTCTCCTAATTTTCCCCCTTCAGGGAAAAAAAAAACATACCTGGACTTTCCACTCTCTTATAGTGGTATGGATTGATACAAACTTCCTTTTGCTTAGATCCAAAGGGAAATTCACAAATATCCAATGGCTTCAGTTCATGATGACTCTGTAAATCAGGCCAACGCCAGACACGACAGTAAATAACATGGGGTAGGCCTTTTCTGTGAGAAACCTGCAGTCTTCCATCTAAAGATCTAGGAATAGTAACACACTTGCTGGGCTGCCCAGGGCTACTCAGTGCTTTTTCCAGTTCTTCCATAGCACCCTTTTTCTTTTTTAACTTTTTTACCAAAGCATCAACTGCTTTTTCTGCCCATTTTTCCTCTTCATCACCTTGTTTCCAGCCCAATAATCGCTTTACAGCAGGGCTAGTAAAAGAGAACAAACTGGCCATTGACGTCATTTGATATATATCTTCAAGAAACTTTCTTACCACTAAATGTCAATGTATATTTGAAGCAATTATCACAAATGATAAACAATGTACTATCTTTCTACAGAAGAACCAATTAACCAATGATGGGAAAACACTGATTTATCTTCAGGAAGGTTCAGCATTTCTTGCATCTGGTGTATCCTAAAGAAAAAATAAATGATAAATATTTAATGAATTTCTTTAAAAATCTGCAAGTACAAGTTATTTTTGATGCGAAACACAGAAACCATAACTGGTTTTTTTTTAAAGATTAAAAAAAAACCCAAGAAGTTTCCTAATTCAATACAATTTATTTTTTTTTTACTCTTAAAAATTATTTCTAACATTCATTTTTCTAAAAATTTGAACTCCAAATTCTCTTGCTCCCTCCCATCCCTCCTCCACCCATTGTGAAGGTAAGACGTGTGATATACATGTGAAACAATACAAAATGTATTTCCATATCAACCATGTTGCCAGAAAAATAAAGTTTAAAAATTATGCTTTAATTTGCAGTCAAAATTCCATCAGTTCTTTCTCTGGAGGTGGATAGCACCTCTGTATTAGTTCTTTTTTTTGTTTTGTTTTTGGCTGTATGCATTCCTGACCTTAAGAGCCATATCAGATTGCTAGTCAGAAGATATACCATGAGGGAAATCTACATCTTCCTTAAGGTCACTATAACCTTAAAATGTTCTAAAACTTTTAAATTTCTTCAGGACAAAATGCATGTTTTTAAATGCAAAGAGTGGTCTTTAAACTATAAATTATAGCAGATAACATACATTTTAGCTATCATCTTTTCCTTTCTTAAAATTTAATATTTTGTTTTAACACAACAAACTGTTCCTTATCTGAACACCCCTAACAAAATACACTACCTGAAAAATCTAAACAGAAATGAGGGGTTTATTCTTTTATTTTGATAGTATGCCACTAACTCTGACCACAGTACTTGATCAGTCTTGTTGCTTCTCCATGTATCCCCCACATTTTAGTATCAAGAGATACAAATGCTTTAAACTCACGTCCCTCCAAAAAACTGAGCGCATTTTGCTATCTCAGATACAGACAAATCTCAAGAAATACAGTTTTTAAACTGCCTGTAATTTTACAGCCTCCTATTTTATTCTTTAGCACAATGAAAAATGTTGAACTACTACAGGTTAGGCATTCTGGGAAATATTTAGCATACAGACTTTAGATAACAGAATCTTTTAAGCTTAGCTTATTAGGCCATTTTGCCTTAATTAAAATGACTTACAATGTGCCATTTTCTGTGTTTAATAATCAGTCTAGTAATTTATTAACAAATAATATAAGATTTTTAAAAAGTAGCCTATACAAACATACTACAAAAACCAACTTTAGAATACGGACACCAACAGAGAATAAAGAAAAGTCCTGTTTTACAACAATCGTAGAATTTATACTTTAAAGTATGTGAATGTAATCCTTTAAACTCTTCTGTAAAGGATCTACCAACAGGCTAGAAGTTTTCCTCTAGACTGGGATTTCTTAACTTTCTTGTGTATTTCATGGACCCCTTTGTTAATATGGTGAAACTTATGTACTCTCTGGTCAGAATTATGCCTTTAAATGAATAAAAAAATATATATAAGATTACAAAGATTACCAATTATACTGAAATGTACTGGTTAAGAATCCCTGCTCTATGTCTTCTGACAATTTGTAGGTACCATTGCAGCATCGAAAAGGTCCACTTATCCTCTCATTCTTGATACACGATTAGTCCATCTACATTTCCGATGACATCTGAAAGGTACTCAACTTGCCAGTCATCCTAACTTTATCTTGCCCCTGAACTCCCTTGACTCAGGAAGAGAGAATGAGGCTGATGGCTTTGTGCAACTCTGCCTCACTTAAATACAATTCATGTGCCAGTCAAGACGTCACCCAGAGACGTCACTGGTTATCTTAGAAAACACAGGATGAACAACAAGGACCTCTTCCACATGATAGAAGCTCTATCATTAGTATATAATGAATGAGAAAAACATAGTGACAAATACTATTATGCATTCAGTCATTCCGAATGAATTTCTATTTTATAAATTATAAGAGGGACCAGACCTCAATATTCCACACCGGGAATCTAACAACCTAAGGATTTCAGACAGTAACAGTGCTGCCCCAACTGAACCTCAGACAACTCAATAGGAGCGAGATAAACTGGAACCACAGGCAAAGGCCTGTGGCCCAAAAGGGACCTCATACACACTGAGCACCTAAAGGATCTGGGCCTCAGATGTAAGGTCCAACACAGAAAGAAAACTAGCACATGTTCTTCACATCTTCTGGATGTGCCTCATTCCCCAGAATCTTGGGATACAGTTACTGAGTTAGTGCCACTCATGAACTTGGTCCAGGCCATCAGGACTATATAAGACCTCTGTCTGAGGCTCTAGGCTGTGTGTCTTCAAGCCAGGTGTTTGTAAATATCCTAATTACAAAGGGGATGCTAGGGACTAGGGCCTTGGGAAAGCACTAGGGCCTCAGGTTTAACCCACCTTTAAAAATCCTTACCCTGTCACCCCCTCAAGCAATCACCTTCTCCCATTAAATACCACCGTACACCCAGAAAGAATAGTGTATCTAAGATGTATACCACCCAATTTCTTCTCAATCCCTTGCAACCTGACTTCCAACCCTATTCCCCAACTCAAACTGTTCTCTTAAATGAGGAATCATGGTACGGTAGAAAGAGGGGTGGACTAAGAGTCACCCTAAGCTTAAATACTGTCTTTGCTATTAATCATCTATAGTTGTTGGTTTAATCTTAGACAGTTCAATCTGAGCTTTGGTGTCCTCACCTGTGAAAGAACTAACCCAGGGGTGGGGAACCTGCGGCCTTGAGACTACATGTGGCCTTCTAGGTCCTCGGGTGTGGCCTTTTGACTGAGTCTAAGTTTTACAGAACAAATCCTTCTATTAAGGGGATTTGTTCTGTGAAGTTTGGATCTTCTAATGAGGGAATGAGTCTAATGAGGGAAACAACATGCAAACTACTAAGTACAAACAAGCTATATAAGGGACAAACTGAAGATCATCTCAGAGGGAACTCACTAAGGATCTTTAGGTGGGACCTGAAGAGAGCTAGGAAAACCAGGAGACAAAGATGAGGAAGGGATAATTCCAGACATGGAGGACAACAAGTGAAAATGCCTCAAGTCAGGAGATAGAATATCTCGTTTGAAGGGGTAGGGTGGAGAGATGGAGGGGTGGAGTAAAGTCTAGAAAAGCAGGAAGGGACCAAATTATGAAGGGCTTTGAATAGCAAACATATGATTTTATATTTGATCTTAGAAGTGACAGTCACTAAACAGAAGAGTGACACGGTCAAATCAATTTCATAGTTGAGTGGAGGATGGACTGCAGTGGGAAAATACTTGAGGCAGCGAGACCAACAAGTAGGTTACTACAGTCACCTAGGTGATGAAGTGATAAGGGCCTGAACCTGGGAGATGGCAGTGTCAGAAGAGAGAGGGGGTCCTATATAAGATATTATGAATATTATGAATCAACAGTACTTGGTGACAGATCTTTCAAATCAAATCATTTTTAATAATATCAGTAAGACGTTATATTCTCTATACTTTTTAGTCAACTTTATTTGCATTACATCTCCATGAAAGCAGATGAAACTCTTTGACGACTATGGCTAGGTGACTACTCAAAGCCTCTCCAAGTGTAGTAAGAACTACCAGAGCTCATACTGTCCTAGTTTTGAAAACCCAGAGACACCATTACACCACAACAAGGTACATACATTTTATGATTATTAACCAAGGTTTTGCAATATTGGCAAAGACTCTATAGCCTGTTTGTGGTCAACAAGAGTCTCACACTTTCATATCAGGGCAACCATGTATAAGTAATTGGACTTTATACACATCAGTCAGGCCAGAGTAAGATGGGTGATTGCCTGAAAGAACTGTATTGCTTGAAGCAAGGTATCCAACCCAGTAGTAGTATATCCAGTGAAACACAGTGGTCCAGGGACAGGACCTTGGGAGATGGTGACTCTTTGGTGAAGCAGGGGCCAACAAATGTGCTCAGAATAGCCTTTGTAGATCAGCAGCCTGCTATAATAGATAAGATTAGAACCTTTTATCTACAGGTAGTTGCTTCTACCTTGAGCAGTTGATCTCAGGCAAGAATGATGCAGCCAGTAATTAGTCCGGAGGACATTACAGTATTGGGAAAGAGATCATTGATCTGATGTTGGAACATATCCATAAGCCAGAACAGTACATAGGATTCTAGAGTTTCCTAATATTTCATACCTTTAGGAAGGCACTGATGCAGGATTCATCTCATAATCAAATCAATGGAGAGTTGCTCCATTAGCAGTGGCAAGAAGTTCAATAAGTATTTATTAAGCACCTACTATTTGCCAAGGACTGTGCTGAGTGATGAAGATACAAATAAGAAAAGGACAGTCCCTGCTCTCAAAAAGCTTACAATCTAATGGGGGAAGACAATACAAAAGGAGGCAAGAAAGCGAGGGCACCAACAGGCTTGGGGAAATCTTGTTCTGTGGAGTTTAAACCAGGGAGAGCAGCAGATGCTAAGTGGAGTGAGCTCAAAGTCCAATTTCTGCCCTCTATGAAGGAAGGCCTTGGAAAGTGTTTGGTACTCCACCTTCCAGCCTTTCAATCAGAAGTAAACAATGAGGAGATTTATGATATCTGTAAATGAAACATGGACATCAACTGCCCAACGTGAACCAAATTCAATTGGTTCACCAATCCGACACCTATTCATCTGTAATGTCTGCCCAGAAGACTCATCACAAAAACAACCTGGGCTGACTCTGACCCCTTCAACTATACTATGAAATGTGACCCATATATCATGGCAGGTACACAGCCTGTTGCACATCACTTAAACGGTGGTGACTTGGTATCAAGAGATGTTAATATGACAATTGCCACAGTAAAGAACAAGTGAACCAATTTGTAGACTGGTGTCCCACTGGCTTTAAAATTAGTTATCAATCATTAGACTCCAATTGCACCACCTAGAGATCAGGAGACAGGGGAAGAGAGGAGGTAATGAGGGAAAACAGGAGAACCTGGACAAAGTACACTTGGCAGAATGCATGCTCAGTAAGGTTTTAAAGCTTAAGCCCACATAGA